AAAAATTATGGGGGGGGGGGGAGTATAGGGAACTTTCAGATTTAGAGAGGAGAAAATCTGGGAAGGAAATAGTTGGGAGAAGAATGCTGCGCAGACGAGGCAGAATTAAAGGAGGCCCAGGAAGTTCCCAAATCTGTGTTAAACTGAGGTATGGATGGACCCTTAATATCAGGGACTGAGGGCAAGTGTTGCTCTCACTTCAGTAGCATCACATTGTTGTTGTTTAGTCGTTTGGTCGTGTCCGACTCTTTGTGACCCCCTGGACCAGAGCACGCCAGGCACTCCTCTCTTCCACTGCCTCCCGCAGTTTGGTCAAACTCATGCTGGTAGCTTCAAGAACACCGTCCAACCATCTCGTCCTCTGTTGTCCCCTTCTCCTTGTGCCCTCCATCTTTACAACATCAGGGTCTTTTCCAGGGAGTCTTCTCTTCTCATGAGGTGGCCAAAGTCTTGGAGCCTCAGCTTCAGGATCTGTCCTTCCAGTGAGTGCTCAGGGCTGATTTCCTTCAGAATGGAGAGGTTTGATCTTCTCGCAGTCCATGGGACTCTCAAGAGTCTCCTCCAGCATCACATGAAAGGTAAAGGTAAAGGGACCCCTGACCATTCGGTCCAGTCGTGGCTGACTCTGGGGTTGCGGCGCTCATCTCGCTTTATTGGCCGAGGGAGCCGGCGTACAGCTTCTGGGTCATGTGGCCAGCATGACTAAGCCACTTCTGGCGAACCAGAGCAGCGCACGGAAACGCCATTTACCTTCCTGCCAGAGCTGTACCTATTTATCTACTTGCACTTTGGCATGCTTTCAAACTGCTAGGTGGGCAGGAGCTGGGACTGAGCAACGGGAGCTCACCCCATTGTGGGGATTCGAACCACTGACCTTCTGATCAGCAAGTCCTAGGCTCTGTGGTTTAACCCACAGCACCACCCGCGTCCCCCAGCATCACATTATGCAGAGCCAAATGGCAGCTGTTGTTTATGTGGGAGAAATAAAAGAGGCTAATGGAGATACCATTGGGATGAAGGGAAGCAGAGGTGTAAGTTTAGCGGCTCCCTCTTTGCAGTGTCCAGAAATGGATCTAACTTACGTTGTCCAATATAACCTATTGAACACAAGAACATCCTGGCTGCTGGATCAGGTCGAAAGTGGCCCATGTAATCCAGCACCCTGTGGCCAAGCAGATTTCTCAATGGGAAACCCCATTTAAGGCGTCTCCACCCCTATTGTTCAACCCAGACCCCAAGGTCCAGCTCTGAGGGCCTTCTGGCGGTTCCCTCATTGCAAGAAGTGAAGTTACAGAGAACCAGGCAGAGGGCCTTCTTGGTAGTGGCACCCTCCCCATGTCAAGGAGACAAATAAATACACAACCTTTAAAAGACATCTGGAGGCAGCCCTGGATCAGAAAGCTTTTGATGTTTTGTCGTGCTGTTTTATATTCTGTTGGAGTGGTTGGGGCAACCCAGTCAGATGAGCAGGATACAAAAAACACCCCAAATTATTATCATTATCATTGTTATTAGTACTACCCCTGCCATTGCAAACGGGCACACAGACACAGCTATAGCACTGAATCTGGGTTGCCAACTCACTCCACTATTTTAACTGCAAGGCTTGCGACCTTACGCAGCTCCTTTCTGGAGAGTGTCACTCTTTCCGAAGGAAATCCCTTACACGCAACAGAACACACCACAAAAAATACAGGTGTTTTGTTTTTGCCGGGGTTGCATTCCATTTATTGGTATGTAGACGAAGGCGGGGGAGCAAGGGAGGCTTATTTGAATTCCTTAATGCAACTTGGGAGGTCAATTAAAATCATAGAAACATTGCATTTTAGGGTTAAAGAGGCCAGGGCAGGCAGGCTTCAGCCTTGTGTGGTCTTGCTGGTTTTCCTTTCCTCTCCTTTTTGCTGAAATCCTGCGGCTCAGTGATGTGTTATTAACGTAAATTGATAAAATAGGAGTGCATACTCAGGGTGTCTCAGCAGATAAGGCATAATAAATCTGGGTTAAGTGATCCTAAGTATCAGCTCTTCCCTAAGAGTATAATTGCTTTGTTGCGTCAAACGGAAGTCCAGCTAAAGTACAACAACAACAAATAATAATAATAATAATAATAATAATAATAATAATTTTATTATTTATATCCCTCCCATCTGGCTGGGTATCCCCAGCCACTCTGGGTGGCTTACAGCATATCTAAAAACATACTAAAACCACCAAACATTAAACACCTCCTGATACAGGGCAGCCTTCAAAGGTCTTCTAAAAGTTGTGTAATTCTCTGTCTCCTTGACACCTGATGGGAGGGCGTTCCACTGGGAGGGTGCCACTACTGAGAAGGCCCTCTGCCTGGTTCCCTGTAACTTCGCTTCTCGCAGTGAGGGAAACACTGTTCTGCACTTAGAAGATGCTCTGAAGGCTGCCTGCTTCCTTTGTTTCCGGCTCCTTAGAGCAGCTCTTTGGCCAGCCAGGAGATAGATGATAGATAGATAGATAGATAGATAGATAGATAGATAGATAGATAGATGATAGATAGATGATAGATAGATAGATGATAGATAGATAGATATAGATAGATAGATAGATATAGATAGATAGATAGATAGATAGATAGATAGATAGATAGATGATACAGTGGTACCCCGCAAGACGAACGCCTCGCAAGACGGAAAACCCGCTAGACGAAAGGGTTTTCCGTTTTGGAGGCGCTTCGCAAAACGAATTTCCCTATGGGCTTGCTTCGCAAGACGACAGCCCATAGGGAAATCTCCGGGACAGCGGGGAAGCGCAGCGCGTCTTCCCCACTGTCCTCGGACCTCCTCCCGCCGCTGGACATCGGAACGAAGCTCCGATGTCCGGCGGGGGGGGGAACGTCTCCTCCCGCCGCCGGACATCGGAACGAAGCTCCGATGTCCGGCGGGGGGGGGAACGTCTCCTCCCTCCAACGGACATCAGAACGAAGCTCCGATGTCCGGCGGGGGGGGGGGAACGTCTCCTCCCTCCAACGGACATCAGAACGAAGCTCCGATGTCCGGCGGGGGGGGGGGGGAACGTCTCCTCCCTCCAACGGACATCAGAACGAAGCTCCGATGTCCGGCGGGGGGGGGAACGTCTCCTCCCTCCAACGGACATCGGAACGAAGCTCCGATGTCCGGCGGCGGGGGGGGAACGTCTCCTCCCTCCAACGGACATCGGAACGAAGCTCCGATGTCCGGCGGGGGGGGGGAACGTCTCCTCCCTCCAACGGACATCGGAATGAAGCTCCGATGTCCGGCGGGGGGGGAACGTCTCCTCCCTCCAACGGACATCGGAACGAAGCTCCGATGTCCGGCGGGGGGGGGGGAACGTCTCCTCCCTCCAACGGACATCGGAACGAAGCTCCGATGTCCGGCGGGGGGGGGGAACGTCTCCTCCCTCCAACGGACATCGGAACGAAGCTCCAATGCCGGGCGGGGGGGGGGGGGAACGCCTCCTCCCGCAGCCCGGCATCGGATGGCTGTCCTGAAGACTTGGGGTGGGAGGAGGGTTTTCCTTCCCACCGCCAACATTCAGAATGCTGTTCTGAATGTTGGCGGTGGGGAGGAAAAACCCTCCTCCCACGCAAGCCCCGGGAACAGAGGAGAAGCGCTGCGCGCCTTCCCCTCTGTTCCCGTACCTGTCCTGAAGGCTTGCGGTCCGGAGAAAAGCCCTTCTCCGCACCGCCAGCCTGGCAAGCGGTTTCCCTAGGAACGCATTAATTGATTTTCAATGCATTCCTATGGGAAACCGTGCTTCGCAAGACGAAAAACTCGCAAGAAGAAAGAACTTGCGGAACGAATTAATTTCGTCTTGCGAGGCACCACTGTAGATAGATAGATGATAGATAGATAGATAGATAGATAGATAGATAGATAGATAGATAGAGATGATAGATAGATAGATAGATAGATAGATGATAGATAGATAGATAGATGATAGATAGATAGATGATATAGATAGATGATACATAGATAGATAGATAGATAGATGATACATAGATAGATAGATAGATAGATGATAGATGATATAGATATAGATGATAGATATAGATAAATTCTCCCAGGAAGTGACTGTACTGTGACTGCAACATGCATTTCCTTCCTTTGAAATTGTTTTGGTGGGGGGAGAAAATGTCTGCCCCATAGGGGCACAGACTCCCCAATTTGCCATAAGAACATGAAAAGAACCCGCTGCCGGATCAGGCCCACGGCTCATCTAGTCCAGCATCCTGTTTTCACAGTGGCCAGTCAGATGCCTGTGGGAAGCCTGCCAACCAACACTTTGAAAGCCAACCAGGTTGGTGAACATTGCTGCCTCCAGTGGAAGTGAGTTCCATAGTTTAAATACATGCTGCACAAAGGAGTCCTTTTTTTGATCTGGCCTGAATTGCCCAACATTCAGCTTCACTGGATGCCCATGACTCCTAGTGTTAGGAGAAAGAGAGAAAAACTGCCCCCCCCATCCTCTTTCTCTGGGCCTTGCGTTATTTTATAAACTCCTTGTCACGTCACCTCGTCTTGTCTTTTCTTGTTCCTGTCCATCACATAATTTAGGGAATTTTTCTAATTCTAAATGAGTACAGTGGTACCTCGGGTTACATACGCTTCAGGTTACATACACTTCAGGTTACAGACTCCGCTAACCCAGAAATAGTACCTCGGGTTAAGAACTTTGCTTCAGGATGAGAACAGGAATTGTGCTCTGGCGGCGCGGCGGCAGCGGGAGGCCCCATTAGCTAAAGTGGTGCTTCAGGTTAAGAACAGTTTCAGGTTAAGAACAGACCTCCGGAACGAATTAAGTACTTAACCCGAGGTACCACTGTAATGGCAAAGCGAGTATCAGAGAAAGGGGTCGGGCGAAGCGGAGGCAATTGCAACGTTGCTTCGGCTTAGACATGACAAATCCAGCAGCGAAGGCAACGGCCCTCTGTGCGTGCTCAGAGGTGCTGTCCACTTCATTGGTTTCAGGCTCGCCCCTGCTGTTTTTAGACAGGTTCCAGGACTGCGCTTAGACGTACCCTTTTCCGTCTGAAAACCTCCGCGTGAATTTGAGAATTCTGAGTCAGGAGCGTGGTGAGGGATTTCTCCATCTCAGTTGAGCTGTTACAATGGCGTTTCCTTTAGAAAGAAAATAATCTTATTCTTGACATGAACTCCCACACGGTGACTGACATCAAACCTGTTCTGCTCTCGGCTGATTTCCACAAGGTCTGTTTTACAGTGTCCCCTGTCATAATGTTTTGTCATTTTCTCTCCCTGTTCTCCATTGACTGTCTTTAAGCTTTCTCTAGGCTGGAAAGCTCTGGGAGATTTATTTCAGGGGGCGAAAACACACACACACACACACACCAATCCCTTCTGAAAAAGAGAATTTACTCTCTGGGTGGGTCTCCCCCCTCGCCCAGCCTTTTCAAGGGCTTATTCTACCGTCATATGTTGGTGGTAAATACCAGATTGGTAGCAGCAGGAGGATATCAGTGCTGGAAAGGGCAGAAAGCCAGAAGGGACCCAACGGGTGGATCTCCTAGACCGAGAATAAAGCTTCCACATTTTATGGTGGAAGCACCTCAACCTTCCAAACACAGTTCGGATTTCGTAACTTCACTGCAAAATGCAAGCAGAACCAAACTTTCCCCCATCCCTAGTCTGGAGGGGCACTAATTCTCATCAGGCGGGTTCTTTTTGTTTCATCTCCGCAGCCCTGGCTTAAGCCCACGGGTTCATTGTTTTCTGGTCATCTCCCGCTCCAGTTCAGTAGACCATCTCTACTCCATGGTCCATAGGTCCTGTGGATGATGTCACCACCATGACATCACCAGCTGCAGGACCAATCCCCCCCTTTCCCCCCGCCACCTGATTTACATGCTCAGATTCGATTCGCTGCTACTTTCCCGCAGGAGGCTTCAGATGTAGGGAGAGGAGACAATGAATCCAGTGCTGGAGATGATTTACACAGCACAAAAAGACAAGAAATGCCTTTTATTTTTTTGGTGTGTGTGCATTGGGGAGGGGGCTAAATGTTTCCCTTTGATGTTGTAGCATCCCATACATAGGATGAATGGAGTTTTCGCTGGGCTCCAGCAGTGTTGGAACAATTCGGGATGCGGTTACTTTGCCCTCTTCCAGCAGCATAATTTGAAAAGGCAATTTTAATTAAGTCCTGGCTTTTTTTTGTTTTTGCATGCATTTCATGGTTTCAGTGTGCCAAAGAGTGTTTTCTCCTTCATGTTTGTTTCAGACAGCTGCGCGGAGCAACACAGAGACAACTTGATCTTAACCGCTGACGGGGAGGGTTATTTGCAGTAGCCAAGAGCACTGTGTTGGAAGGTGAGTTGCCCATGGTGACATTGTCTCTTGATATTGTTATTTGTACAAACGGGGCGATAAAATAAGTAACCGAGATCCATGAAGGGCCTAAACAAGTCTAGCTGAGAACGGTTCATAGGCCTGCAGCGAAATTTGTGGGTGCAAGAGAGAAGACTTCTTTTATTTATCATTTATTACACCTATATAAGGGAAGGTGGGGCTCATCCACCTGAGAAGGGAGAAGAAGAAGAAGAGTTTGGATTTGATATCCCGCTTTATCACTACCCTAAGGAGTCTCAAAGCGGCTAACAATCTCCTTTCCCTTCCTCCCCCACAACAAACACTCTGTGAGGTGAGTGGGGCTGAGAGACTTCAGAGAAGTGTGACTGGCCCAAGGTCACCCAGCAGCTGCATGTGGAGGAGCGGGGAAGCGAACCCGGTTCACCAGATTACAAGTCCACCGCTCTTAACCACCACACCACGCTGGCTTTCCATCTAGGAGCCCATCTAGGAGAAGGAAAACTCTGATCCTGAACCTCCACTGTCTTGTGGGACACCTTCGAGAGAAGAAGAAGCTCGGGAGTAAACCCTACACAAATCCAGAGTGAAATCCCTAAGATGGTTGGATTGTGCCTCTTGGAAGTCCATTTCATTGTCTCTTGAGAGATGCCAACCACAACGTCAATATACCCCGTTTTCCTCAAGATGGTGCATATGGTTCTCTTCCTCCACATTTTATCCTCACCACTACCCTGTGAGGTAGGCTAGGCCTGGCCCAAGGTTATCCTTGTGAGATTCAAGGCTGAGTGAAGATTCAAACCCGGGTCTCCCAGGTCATAGTCCAACCCTCTAACCACTACACCACACTGGCTTTCCCCAACCTGATGTCATTTGGATGCTTTTGTTGCTATACAGTGGTGCCCCGCAAGACGAAATTAATTCGTTCCGCAATTTTTGTCGTCTAGCGAATTTTTCGTCTTGCGAAGCACGGTTTCCCATAGGAATGCATTGAAAATCAATTAATGCGTTCCTAGGCAAAACCGCTTGCCAGGCTGGCGGTGCGGAGAAGGGCTTTTCTCCCCACCGCAAGCCTTCAGCACAGGTACGGGAACAGAGGGGAAGGCGCGCAGCGCTTTCCCTCTGTTCCCGGGGCTTGCGTGGGAGGAGGGTTTTTCCTCCCCACCGCCAACATTCAGAACAGCATTCTGAATGTTGGCGGTGGGAAGGAAAACCCTTCTCCCACCCCAAGTCTTCAGGACAGCCATCCGAAGGCTGGCGCGGGGAGAAGGTCTCTCCGCCCCCCCCCACGCCAGGCTTCGGTGCATCCTTCAGAGGCTGCTGCCATAGTCACGCGTCACTTCTCCAGCTGGGAGAGGGTCGCGGGGCTATGGTTTCTTTAGCCCCGCGCGCGCTCTCCCGGCTGGAGAGGTGACGGGCGCCTATGGAGGTTCCTGCCATATGCGCGCGTCACAACTCCAGCTGGGAGAGGGTCGCGGGGGGCTGGTTTAGCCCCGCGCGCGCTCTCCTGGCTGGAGAGGTGACGGGCGCCTATGGAGGCTCCTGCCATAGGCGCGCGTCACTTCTCCAGCTGGGAGAGGGTCGCGGGGGGCTGGTTTAGCCCCCCGCGCGCTCTCCCGGCTGGAGAGGTGACGGGCGCCTATGGAGGCTCCTGCCATAGGCGCGCGTCACTTCTCCAGCTGGGAGAGGGTCACGGGGGGCTGGTTTAGCCCCGCGCGCGCTCTCCTGGCTGGAGAGGTGACGGGCGCCTATGGAGGTTCCTATGGAGCTGTTCCTGGAACAGCTTTCTGAAGTGGGGCGGCTGGGGCAGATGTCCCCGCCCCCCCTCCCCGCTTCGGAACAGCTTTCCGAAGTGGGGCGGCTGGGGCAGGTGACCCCGCCCCCCCGCCCCACTTCGGAACAGCTGCAAAAGACGTCAGGGGGAAGCGGGGAAGCGAAGCGCTTCGCTTCCCGCTTCCCCCGGACCTCTTCTGAAGCAAGGGGCTGGGGGGAGATCGCTATCTCTCCCCAGCCCCTTGCTTCAGAAGAGGTCCGGGGGAAGCGGGAAGCGAAGCGCTTCGCTTCCCCGCTTCCCCCGACGTCTTTTGCAGCAAGGGGCTGCAGGGAGATCGCTATCTCCCCCCATCCCCTTGCTTCAGAAGAGGTCCGGGGGAAGCGGGGAAGCGAAGCGCTTCGCTTCCCCGCTTCCCCCGACGTCTTTTGCAGCAAGGGGCTGCAGGGAGATCGCTATCTCCCCCCATCCCCTTGCTTCAGAAGAGGTCCGGGGGAAGCGGGGAAGCGAAGCGCTTCGCTTCCCCGCTTCCCCCGACGTCTTTTGCAGCAAGGGGCTGCAGGGAGATCGCTATCTCCCCCCAGCCCCTTGCTTCAGAAGAGGTCCGGGGGAAGCGGGGAAGCGAAGCGCTTCGCTTCCCCGCTTCCCCCGACGTCTTTTGCAGCAAGGGGCTGCAGGGAGATCGCTATCTCCCCCCAGCCCCTTGCTTCAGAAGAGGTCCGGGGGAAGCGGGGAAGCGAAGCGCTTCGCTTCCCCGCTTCCCCCGGACGTCTTTTGCAGCAAGGGGCTGCAGGGAGATCGCTATCTCCCTGCAGCCCCTTGCTTCAAAAGAGAAGACCCGCTGTCCCCGGGGCAAGCTTCGTTTTGCGAAGCAAGCCCATAGGGGAATTCGTCTTGCGAGGCAAATCGCGGACGAAAAAACCTTTCGTCTAGCGAGTTTTTTGTCTTGCGAGGCGTTCGTCTTGCGGGGCACTACTGTAGTTGCATCTACACCATACATTTAAAGCACACTGCATCGCCAAAAGAAGACTGGGAAATGTAGTTTACCTCTCACAGAACTACAGTTCCCAGAACCCATAACAAACTACAGTTTCCAGAATTCTTTGGTGAAAGACATGCAATTTAAATCTAACATGTAGTTTGGGCCCAATGACAGCCCAGACTGAATAAAGATTTGCTGAAGAACTGGGATGGTGAAGATGCAGGTGACCCCTGTTAGAAGTGGTATAATAATAATAATAATAATAATAATAATAATAATAATAATAATAATAATAATAGGTAAAGGTAAAGGGACGCCTGACCATTAGGTCCAGTCGTGGCTGACTCTGGGGTTGTGACGCTCATCTCGCTTCATTGGCCAAGGGAGCCTGCATACAGCCGCTTCTGGCGAACCAGAGCAGCGCATGGAAACACCGTTTACCTTCCCGCTGGAGCGGTACCTATTTATCTACTTGCACTTCGTGCTTTCGAACTGCTAGGTTGGCAGGAGCAGGGACCGAACAACAGGAGCTCACCCCGTCGCGGGGATTCGAACCGCCGACCTTCTGATCAGCAAGTCCTAGGCTCCGTGGTTTAACCCACAGCGCCAACTGCGTTAATAATAATAATAATAATAATAATAATAATAATAATAATAAACCCCTGCCCATCTGGCTGGGCTGCCCCAGCCACTTTATGACATTTCAAATTTTGCAAGCTATATTTTTGTTGTTGAAAGCTAGCCTCAAAATCCAGCATTCACATTTTGGAGTCGGAAGCAGTTCTCAAAATGTGAATTTCTGCTCTCTCGATTGGCTAAATGAATGGATGAATGAAGGTCATCTAAAATCCCGGCAATCCTACTGCAAGTCATCGATCTGATACTGTCATATGTCCACTGTAGCCTAGGAGCTACCACGAAATCTGCGGCTGTCAAATGCAGATTCTAAAGATCTAATATTATCCACACATCCAGAGAATATTTGCAGAATATTTTACCTTCAAAGAGATAGCCAAGTATTGGGTGGTCTTTCATTGACCGCATGACTCAACAGGGTATGGAATATTGTCGGATGCTAAACTAGATGGACCCTGATCCAGCAGAATCATCTTATATTCTTAAGTCCTGGTGGACAAATTGATGAGTCCAGTGCATATCACTCGGTTTACAAAGTTTGGCACGGTTCTGTTGTGTTAGTTAATTTTGTAGATCGGGGGTCAGCAAATGTTTTGAGCAAGGGGCCACTCCACTGTTCCTCAGACCTTGTGGGGTGCCGAACTACCGTATTTTTCACCCTATAGGACGCACCGTCCCATAAGGCGCACCTAGTTTTTTGTGGGGAAAATAAAGGGGAAAAAAATATTTCCCCCCCAGGTGCGGGGCTGGGGTGGGGGAAGCCCGAGCTTCCCCCGACCCCAGCCCCCAGAACAGGCAACTCTCCGCAAGCCGTGGGAGCCCAGTGCCGGGCTCCCGTGCTTTGCGGAGAGCTGCGCAAAGCCTGGAGAGCGAGAGGGGTCCGTGCGCACCGAAAGCCTGCATTCGCCCCATAGGACGCACACACATTCCCCCTTCATTTTTGGAGGGGAAAAAGTGCGTCCTATAGGGCGAAAAATTCGGTATATTTTGGGAAAAAAGAAAAGAAAAAAGAATGAATTCCTATGCCCCACAAATAACCCAGAGATGCATTTTAAATAAAAGGGCACATTCTACTCATGTAAAAACATGCTGATTCCTGGACCGTCCGTGGGCCGGATTTAGAAGGTGATTGGGCCAGATCCGGCCCCTGGGCCTTAGTTTGCCTACCCATGCCTCAGATCAAAGACCACCAAGTTGACCAGAAGGATATTGAAAGACTTGCTTGGCTGATCTCTGGCATCTTCAGCCAATGTATATGTGTGCATCTAAAGTCAGGTCCTCACTCCTATGAAGTCCCAGGTTGTTATCCCTTTTCCTGGAACCTCTGCCCCAATTTTGGTTTCTTTGTTTTCTGTTGGTTTGCTCTGGGCTGTATCATCGTGTTACGGTTATTTGAAAAAATGAATAAAAACATTCTTTTCAGAAATATAGATGAAATTTGGATTATTATTTTTTTTGCGGTGGGGGGAAAGGTAAGGGGAGCAAATTCCTTCCAGCTTCATTTTACATCCTTGAAGTTAAGGCCGTCCAGAAATCCCCTTGTTCTACTTCAGTTGTCCCCCCCCCCAAACATTTGGTGCATGACAAACTTTAATGGGACTGAGCAGTCTATGT